TTGAAGGGGAGTTATCTTTGGGGTATGGCTGCTTACATACGGAAGAGCTTTGGGAAAGGGCTCTGGCTTCCTGGCACGTTTCCGATCCTGCTTTGGCCAAGTCTTTGTCTCCCGTTCCTGGACTTGACCCACGATTTATCATGCCTGCTGTATTGCCTGCTAATCTTGGGATTGTGCCATTTTACCTGCCAATCTTGGGTTCATCAGCCTTAGCAGCCAGCAGCTGCATGAGTGAGAAGATGCCTCCAGCTCCAGTGGACTGGGAACGAGAGGCAGAGCTGAAGCCCAAGGTCAAAGGGCCTTCGCCCAGCCCCTAGAACCAGCACTCTGAATTTGGACTTGCAGCCTCCTAAACTGTAAGAGAGCAAACTCCTAGTTTGTTAAAGCCTGCACCTGTGGTATTTCCGTTAGAGCAGCCCGAGAGAACAGCCAACATCAGAAGCCAGCCAGACCTAACACTCCCCCACCTGGCAACCCGATTTGTATGTACTCTACTGACCAGACCTGGGGTGCTTTTTTTTTTACATAAAAAATCAGTTTATTGAGGTATAATTTATATACAATTAAATTCACCAATTTAAAATATTCAACTCAATGAGTTTTGAAAAATGTGTATAGTCATGTAAACCATTACAGTCAAAATACAGACATTTCCATCACCCCTAAAATTTATGTCATGTGCTTTTGTAGGTAGTCCCCTTCCTGATATCCAGCTTTTCATAAGCCACTGATAGGCTCTTTATCATTATTTTACCTTTTCTGTGGTTTCATAAAGGTGGAATCATACAATGTTTCTAGTTTCCTTAGTTTAGTATAATGGTTTTGAGATTCATCTATGCTGTTGAGTGTATCAGTAGTCCATTTTTATTACTGAGTAGTATTCCACTAAGGAACTCTGGTGGTATAGTGGATAAAGGATTTGCCTGCTAACCAGAAGGTCGCCAGTTCAAACCCACCAGCTCCTCCTTGGGAGGATGGGGTGCTTTTTTAATGGTGGCCTCTACCCCTCATTCTCATCTTTAGCTCTCATCTGCTCTTCAGTGAACGATTGTGATGCAAACAATAAAAGTCACACACCAACGGTTTGAGGGATGGGTGATGCATATGAAAAAAAATCTCATTTCCAAGTTAATCAAAATAAAGGCTGTGGAGCTAAGAAAAGCCCTCTAAGCCATTATATGTGTCGGACAGCAGAGGAGATCCTGACAAACGTTTGAGAGCTTTCCCTAAACGGACTAAGCTGCTCCTGTGTCTACTGTTCATTGGAATGGCTCCTACTGATGGCTCAAGGCTCCATCCCGAGTCAGAATAAATTGAAATGCTTTCACACTCCCAGTATCTCTTTGGTTCCTGCGACAAAAGAAGTCACACACACATACACATACACACATGCGCGCATACACACACACAGACAGCCTCCAGCCTCAGCTCCTGGGCCCCACCATTTCAATGACTAAAGCAAGTGTTTTTGCTTCTAGAAGCCTTGACTTTCTCATCTGTAAGATGGGACATTATAACAGTAAGTGAAGTTTCCTGCATTAGCAGTGCCTGGCATGCACTGTTCAGTAAATGTTATTTTCTTTCACATACTTTGGACACGTGACCAGGAGGGCCAGGTCCCTGGAGAAGGACATCATGCTTGGTAGAGTCAGCGAAATAGAAGAAGACCCTCAAGGAGACAGATTGAGGCGGTGGCTGCAACGATGGGCTCCAACCTGTTGCCCGTTGTGAGGATGGCACGGGAGCGGGCAGTGCTTGGTTCTGTTGCAATAGGGCCACTGGGAGGCAGGGCCCGACGTGACTGCAGCTGACACTCGCTTTGTGCCACTGCCTCTCCTCCAGGGCTAACTGCGTATTTAGTTGGTATTCACTTATTTCCCCAATATCACGCCCTCTGACCACCTTGTTCCCTGGTGGATCCTCAGGGCCAGCCAGTGCACTGTGGCCAGAAGTCATCT